GAACATCTTAAAAATTTTTATTTTTGTTTTTATAAATCACATACTTGTATCAACATTATGTCGCTACAAAATACACCCACTATGTCGAAGGCCTCCAAGAGAAATTTGCGTAAGAAAGAACTACGCACCATAAAAAAAGCTAAGATTGAAAAATCTATAGCTCAATTGTCGGAGAGGGTATTTCCAATTCTAATGCTAATCATATCGAAGAAAGCACGAACATATTTTATGATCCTTTAAAAGTAGATTAAATATCTTTTATTACATTTAGTTTTATAGTATAGTCTTCTTAGAGGTACTTTTCACCTTTCGAGGCAGGTCTAGGATCCGAGTATTCCCTCTCTATATAAAGTTATTTTTTTATCTCGGGCGTGATCGTCATCCTTGATGTGGGGCGTGTGTGAAGAGGAAGGTGATGCAGACTTCATGGGTTTTAAACCCCCAAACCACACCACTGAGAGTGATTCGAATGTATCCATCGAGAAGATTTTATTACTATTCAACATAAAGTATTTTTTGTATATCAATTTACCAGTTTTTTGAATATATATTTTCTAGCACAAGACTCAAAGCGAGACCCGTCTATCTAAGAGCAAATCACGTGAATATATTCTATCTTACTGGAAATCTGAAGATTTCATGGCGAGCGATCTTAAGTCAAAGAATGATTTGCAATCTATTTTTTTAATGGATCCAAAGATCACCTTTTTCAAAAAATTTGCAGAAAGAAGACAGCAACGAGAAGTTATTAAGACGCTACTGGACCGAGAATTGCTTCCATTGGATGCTGTAAAGCAAAACACCTTTTCCCTTAAATATGACAATCTTTCCAAATTTGACCTAGAAAATATTTGAAGCAAATTATACAATTCAGAAAGATCACTACCACCCCAAACCACACAAATTATTCATCCCATTTAACTACCTTTCAAATACTTGCTGAATTTATTGATTTACTAGAATCAGAAATTTTTGATCACACCAAACCCACAAATAAAAATTCTGATTTAGCATGGAAGCAATTCACTTTGTGGGTATTTTTTGCAATCAGTCCTTCCATTATAAAGCAGATTTGTAACCATTGTCAGTGCCTCTGGTTTAAGATAAAGTGTGCACATCAGCAACATGTAAAAGCAGGAAAAGTTTCACTAAAGCAAACAACAATATCTGAGGCACTTTGTCGAAATTTAAAAGACAAGCAAATTATTGCTAGTG